GCAGACGTGCACGGATTACAACTTAAAAATTATAGTGCAGTGGCTTATTAACTCCAATTTTTAAGGTAAAATGAAAATAGGTAGCGAAAAAATACCTAGTACCATGACAGTAGCATTTTAAATGCATTCATATTTCTTTTGCCCTTAAATTCTACTACATAACTGCAAAAACTTGCAGGTTATTAAAAAAACAGTTTGATGTATTTTACAATCAAAATAAAAACTGCTTTTGTACTAATAGATATGAAAAATTACTTTTATTCCAAACTATAATAGGGTGAAGAAAATATAGTAATTGAATAACTCGTTTGCTAAGTTGCAGCAGAAATAGTTGGAACAAATTTTCTTTGGGATGAAAATATGTGGTATTTTCATTGGTCTCTTAAAATATTGAATTCATTCTACTGCGAGGTTCGAATCTTTCGAACGGGCTGAATGCATGGGCGTGTATACGAGCCAGTTTCTCTTAGAAGGTCCTCCACAAAGGCAGCCCTCCCCTTAGGCAGATAGCCCTAGTGTGATTTGCCATGATTAAATAAACCAATATCCTGAATCCTTCTAGTGCACCCGTTCTTACAATTTGTAAACATTATTTAATCGAATTTTTTTTTCTCCTTACGTTTTCCATTATAAGTGCGCGGTTTGACTTATTCAGTGTCAAAAACAAATTAGCGAACAGCAACAATAACAATATGATTAGATTTTCGTCTACTGTTTCTCAGCAGAAGTACTGTTTCTACTAATTTTATACCTATGAGTGCATGTCTGGATGGTCGATTTCCCCTGTTTCAATGCTACACTAAGCAGTGATAAAGCCTTTTGTTTTAACGAAGTTAGTTAAACTGTTGTACCTCTTAGGTTCTTGGAAAAGGAAAGCATATTTTATAGCTATGCACGTTAGATAAAATTATAGTGGTATCTACTTGAAAGTAAAATATATTTTTTACAAAAACAAAAAAAAAAAAAAAAAAAAAAAAAACATCGCAGCACTAAGAAGGAATTTTGCGATCGTGACGAAATTTGGTATGCAAAACCATCTTGATTGAACATGCAAGTGTTCAAAGTTTCAAGGTAAATTAACAGAAATTGCGATCATAGCGCGCATTTCTAGTGCGCCATTCGCAAAGTATAAAACCAGTAACAGAGGCGGAAAATTTATCTTTTTTTTTGTTACTGCCGTTGTAATTCCGTAAAGAAGCAACTAAAGATGTAATTACGACGATATCGAAGACCTTACAGAAAACTAAACGACTTCGAACGTGGTCGCATTGTAGGGTTGCGTGAAACTGGGTGGTCATACCGAGAAATAGGCCGCAACCTGCAGCGTACAGACACTGCTGTGCAAATATGTTGGCAGCAATGGTTGCCACGATGAAATTGCCAACGAAATGAAGGCTCTGGAAGGCCAAGGATCACAAATGCGAGGAAAGATAGGATGATTGTTCGCCAGTCCCGAACAGCGCCAACGGTATCATTCTCGGCTATTCAATGCAATACAGCCACGTGTATACCTCCCGTGGTACCGTCTACCATCTCACGGCGCTTGTCTGAGGCAGGGGCACGCTCACATAGGCTTTCAAGATGTTTTCTTTCGACCCCACAACATCGGCAGAGTCGTTTGAAGTGGTGTCGCAGCCGATCATCATGTCTGCCATCAGACTGACATCGTACAGTGTTCAGCGATGAAACCTACTTCACTCTTGAAGCAGATGACCGTCATGGTCGTGTTTGGAGAGGACAGGTCCAGCGGTCTCAATCAAACTTTGTTTTACAATGTCATACAACCAATTTCCCTGGTGAAATGGTGTGGGCGTTATTTCTTATTACACAGGTCATCTTTAGTCATTATCCGTACATCTTTAACAGCTCAACGATATGTTGATACTATCCTGTGGCCGGTTGCATATAGTTGCATATAGTTATGACGTCATCATGGAGCCATTTTCTCAACAAGATAATGCCAGGCCACATACCGCTCACATATCTATGGACTGTCTCCATGCGGTTGATAATCTTCCTTTGTCAGCAAGGTCATCAGACCTTTCTGACAAGATCGAACACGTCTGGGACATAGTAGGCCCCCAGATTCGGGCACCATAAAATATCTCAGATCTGGAGCGACGACTGTTGAATGTCCTCGCAGAATGTGTCTCAGGATGACATTAGGAACCTCTACTACTCCTTGCCTCGACGAATTCAATCATGCATTGCCGCCGGGCGCGGTTCGACCAACTACTAATTTGAACACTCAATGAGTGATTATGAGCCGTGAACAGGTACTATTACCTTCACTTTTTAATCATTTTATAATCTGTATATGAGCTAAGCACATATTCAATTTCATCAGAAACAACAACTTCCTTCATGGTGCTTCAATTTGTTTGCAAAAAAAGTGTATATATACATACGTTGATTATCACTATTTCTCAAGAGAGACGAAGACATGCAATTGTTCTAAATGTTCGTGTCTGTTTTGAAAGCCTTTTTATTTTTCACATTACTTGTTGTGCTTCTAAATTTGTAATTTCATATCTTCTGAAGATTGCATTTCTTGTTAGATTATGTATCTATTTATATATTAATTATTACATTAAATTTATGCATTCATTTTAATTTATTTATGTACTAATTTTTTTATATTGTGTATTCATTTTTATTATCAAACCTTTGAAAATCGAAAATATTTGTTCGCTTTTATACGTTGTACATTATTAGTTTAGGGATTTACAATAAAGCATTTATTCTTTGTTGTTTCATATAAATGTTTTTCTCTATCATTTATGTATCAGATAAAAATTCAAAATTCTATTCCTCAGCCATTCATTGCATTACGATGACTATAACTCATTCTCTCTCTCTCTCTCTTTATATATATATATATATATATATATATATATACACCGTGTTCATAAAAGTGCAAATTTCAAATTTTAAACTTTAACTTTTGTCTTTGTTGGTTCAGAAGCAGGCTGTTTTAATTATTAACTTCTTTCATTGCATCAACCCGTGATGATGATGAAGCGAAAGGTATTAGATTACATAATTTTCATAGTTTTTGTTTTGGTATATTTTGCCCCATATTTCTTGTAGTCTGCACTGTGCTTCTGGTTTATTTGGTTTTTGCACGTGATTTATTCCGCATTGACTATGCGATGAATTTTAAAAGTAAATTTTATTTATTTTTCATAAGATAAAAAATACGCAAAATAAAAAATAAATGAAATATATATATACAGTGGCTCCTAAAAGTGTTCGTACACTTATGATTTTCATTGAAATATGGCTCTATACATTAATTAAAATGAACTTTCTGAATGAGATTTTAGTAATAAAATCTATAATCTATTCGTAACAAAATTACATGAAATATTTTTAAAATGTAGCGAAACTTTATTTTTAAGAAATTAATAATCAAAAAATTATAAACATTTTATCTCACAAAAGTCTTCGTACACTGAAATATTTTTGGATAAAATCAAAAATAGAATTATCGTTAGGCGCTTTTTTTTTAATTTTTGCATTGTGGTGGCATTTAAAAAATCGTTTGCTTTAATTTTTTATTGTTTACTTCATAATATTATATTTATTATTGAAAAATAGATCGCAGTCGTAAAGAAATTACAAACAGCATTCGAAAATTGATAATGTTTCACCATAGTAGTGGTAAATCAATTCGAAATATTGCTAAATTAGTTAATTTATCCCATTCTACAGTGCAGTATGGGATAAAACGCTTTAAAAAAGAAAATTGTATTGTAAACAAGGTAAGAAAAGGTCGACCGAAAAAGTTAACATGATGAGAGATTTATTATTAGAAAATTTGTGAAAAACCCACGTGTGAGTGCTGTAAAAGTTTCTGCAGAATTTAATGCAAAGTTTTCTACTCCAATTTCACCTTAAACTGTTCGACGAGTTCTCAGAGACCCTGGATTACATGCGCATTCTGCCCGTAAATATTTTTGTTAGTGAGAAAAACAGAAAGCTTAGGCTTTCATTCGCAAAATCAATGATAAATACACCCGAAACGTACTGCAATAATGCTGACTATTTGCTGACGAAAGCAAATTTAACATTTTTGGCTCCGATGGTTGAATAAATGTATAGAGATGAAAAAATAAGGAGCTTCATTCTAAGAACTTAGTTGGAACAGTTAAGCATGGCGGTGGAGGTGCTCTTGTGTGTGGGGGGACATAAGTGCATCAGGACTAGGTAATGTTTATTTATTGATGGCATAATGAATCATTTTCTTTATTTAAATATTTTAAGAGACAATTTAAAATTATCAGCCCAAAATTTGGGTATTGGAAACAACTTTATTTTTAATCATGATAACGATCCTACGTATACGGCTCTCAAAGTTCTCCTGTAGTGTCTCTATAATTGTCCGCAGGTTTTGAAAACACCACCTCAGTCGCCAGATTTAAACCACATATAACACATTTGGAAAGAGCTGGAGGTTAGAGTACGAAAACACGACATCAAAGCAAAATGCGTACTCAAAACAGCCATGATAGAAGAATGGAGGAACATTCCAGACGTTTAAAAGCTGTTGTGGATGCTAAAGGATATCCTACTAATATTAATTTAACGAAAAATGAAAATATTTACTAATATGTCAAGATTTATTTGAAGTGTACGAATACTTTTGTGAGATAAAATGTTTGTCATTTTTTGATTATTAATTTCTTAAAAATAAAGTTTCGCTATATTTTAAAAATATTTCATGTAATTTTATTACGAATAAATTATAGATCTTATGATTAAAATCTCTTCAAAAAGTTTACTTTTAATTAATGGGTAGAATCCTATTTCAATGAAAATCATACGTGTACGAACACTTTTGGGAGCCACTGTATATATTGAGCATTTAATATATATAAGCTATATACTTAGCTACATATTCAGCATAATATTTTAGCAGCATAATAAATGCTACAAATTTTAAGCTTTTTTTTATTATACATATATGTAATTTAAGATCATTTTATATCGTAACTTACGAGTGCTAGATGCCAGGCAAACTTCCGCTTCTTTTAAGAACTGTGTATCAGTTTCTTTTCGCAAAACAGCCACGCTTTCGGACACACAGGAATATTTGTTTTGGAACAAAATTTTAGCCTGTTATGTGGTCTTCTATACATTCAGTGTTTTCCATTGCCTGCAAGAACAATTTTAATTTGTTAGAAATGATGGATATGAGAAAGAAATATATATATGCATGTTTAGGATATATCAAACAGGTTACACAAATAGATATACTTTCCAGCAGCTGTTACTAGAAATATCGCTTAGTGACATTGTTGTAAATTAATCACGCATTTGAGAAGAAAAATAAAAAGAAAATGTTTTTTCCAGCTTACTTCTGGTAACCCTAGAAATGCCAAGGCATGTGCGCCAATCACGCCCAATTTTTATATACCATGATCCTTTTGTTCCCTTTCATTATTAAGTTTTCGTGTGTGCTTGTATGCAACATTAATGTATTCGTCGCTTTATATTATTTAGTTACATCTGAATAAATGTGATTTGTGTTTAAATACTCCTCCTATTATTAATGGATATATCCTCATAACAAGTTTTATTTTGGACATCTAATAGCGCTGCTGGATGCATGAGAGGTAATCTAAGTTTGCTAGCTTATCTTAAGACATGATAAATTTTAATTAAAATATGCAAATTAATGTTAACTTTGCTTTTCAACAAACAGGTTTCACTCATAAAGCTCTCGACTATAACACCTTTTCGAGAAACAGCCAGCTCTTAATATTAAATATTCATCCTCAATATATATATTGTGAACAGAACATACTTTCATTGGGAAAAAGGTAAGATGAGGGTATGTAAAATAAAACACTGTTTAACGCGGAATTTAGTTTAGTTGATTCATAATTGCAGAGTTTACATTCCTTCGGGATTTAGCAGTCTACAACTTTGAATAAAGTGCATTGAAATTACTATCTGAATGTCTATAATGGATAGCTGAAGCCAAATCACGCGCTGTGTGGTGTAGTAATTCAGGGATAATAGTCAAATGAAATTCAGATCGACAATTTTTTAAAAAAATGAATATAAAAATACCACAAAATTTGCCACATTTATAAACCACAACTTTTATTATATAAAACTCGTAAAATTTCAAATATTATAAATACCCTACCAATTGGCAGAAGTGAAAAAATTTGAAAATTCAAAATCCTGTGGTAAATATAAATCACAATTTAAAATTTCGTGGGACATCTTCATCAGGGGGTTGATGTATCAATGAATGTAAAGGAATTATTGTATTTTGGGCTAAAAAATGCAAAATTCAAAATTTCAATATTTCGATAAATATTGATAAAAATATTCGTGCATTTAGTGGCTCAACCATAAACAAGCCGGAAGAAAACAAGCACTTGGCTTAAATTTAGAAATGCCGAAAATCATGAAATGAAAGTGAATACAAAGTGAAAGAAATTAGGTTAATTTATATTTAAAAAAAAAAAAAAAAAAAAAAAAAAAAAAAAAAAAAAAAAAACTTTATTTATTAAAATTTCTAAAATAATTAATGAAGAAAAAAATAATTATATAGTTTCGTAGGAACAAGAGATTAAATAAATCTCTTTATAGAATGCAACTACAGTTTCACGTAATTAATAATATGTGCTTGATAAATTTATAAAGACAATGGTTAACAATTTTGACACTGGAGTTCGATTATTCTATCTCTTTAGTTGAGCGCCCACACTTTTGTTATTTGTGATAGATATTTCTAGACGAATTTTGGAAAGAGAATTGTTTGATCTCTTTCTTTTATGGAGCAATCTGATAAATTTATTTTCTTCTTCATTAATTACTTTTAAATTAATAAATGAAATAAAACATTAAAAATAAATGAAAAATAATTTTATTAAAAATTAAAGAATGCTTAGTTTTCATCATTTTAGTCTCAACGTTGTTAATCAAGTAATTCAGCTGAAAAATCAATTTCAGTCGTTGCGTTCCACCCTTTTATCTAACAGCTAAATGTGTAGGAACTTCGTGAACAGCTAAGCGAATAATCGCTTTATTTCAGGAACAGAGACGTAAACTCATGGAAGGGGTAATTACCCTTTATTTCTCAAAATAACAATTACAACAGTCGGCCCCTTTGTCAGGGCGTACAGCAAAACCTCCACTTGGGCTTGAACTCAAAGTAATAAGAGATAAGACTTAACTAATGTTTAACTGAAAGGATATAGCCGATACTATCAAAATTCTAAGTAGTTCGCTCTTAAATATTGAATAAGCTAATGAAGTTATGAAGGCCCTAAAACACGTCCGAACTTTGACTTAAAAATACCACTTTGATACATATCCATTAAACGCGATTCTAAAAAACCATTCTGGTAGGAAATTGATATAAAATTAGGAAGGTCAGAAAAGTAGCTTTAACTAAAGAAAACTGTTAAAAATTTAGGATAAACCTTACACGATAATGAAAATTCACTATTTTTTTCCAAATGTTCTGATACACTAACTGGAGTAAATTTCAAAAATTCGCCAACAAAAAACATTTACTTTTTATAACAGTCCCATACTTATTAAATTTTGCTCCATCAAGCGGCTGAGCGAATAATACAAATAATACTTGTTGTTTAAATCCTGCAAAAGAACTATCTGTAATATTGAAAAATTTAATTTTAGTGGCGCAATATTAAGTGGTGAGACCGAACAAAAGTTTAATAAATAGTTGCAGTTTAAACTAGCATGAACGAAACTTAAAGTAACATAAAAATATAAGAGCTAGCCAATTTAGCTTTTATTTGTGATCGTAATTATCAGAAAGCATTGCGTTCTGAGTTTTCCTTACCGGGTCCGTGCTCAGGAAAAGATAAGTTAAATAATAAATGCAATACGCAAGGAAAAACATAATATGGCATTTAAATTAATAAGTAAGTTTATTAAGGCTCAGGTTAATCTCAGCAAATTTTTACAACTATCTATATATTCCATATTTCTAAATTTAATTTTTGGTAAAAAAATTATCATAAACCATACTTATTTAATCTTCAACACAATACCTATTAAGGAAACTGGATAAAGAACAATGCACATTTTTTTCTTTTGTTTTTAGCGTGAATTTAACATCAGGACGAATAATAATTCCGAAAACAAAATTACATTCTTAATTAGATGGAGCTTTTAGCTCAAGTTATTTTTCGAAGTAAAAAGATAGATGCAGGATAAAGACGTAATTTCTAAGTGGATCAATTAAGGTTTCTTGCTGATTTAAATTCTTAAATTACTGTTCTTTCGAATAAATTATAGTATACAAGTAAATATTTTCTGCTATTTCATAAAAAAAAGGAAAATGAGTTATCTGGTGCTTGGCAATCTTGAAGTGGAAAAGAGTAGTTTTTTCCTAGGCGCCATCACTGAAACCCTATGCTAAGCCTAAGTTATGCGTCACGTAGACTCTCAAAATCAGAAGTAGAACATGGTAGTTGAGAAGGTCCTCTTTTCTCATTAACCTCGCTACTAAGATATCAGTGATTCGGAACTTACGGGCAAATCCCAACTGATGATCCCAATGATGTCAATCAGCTACAATTTGGTTAAATCAACTACAATGTCCAGCAGCATCTAGCTGTTACAGGCTTAAGACTTGCATTATTGGAAATAAGTCTGTACACGACTCGACGAGTATAACAGACCATACATTATCTTTTCCAGCTCACTACCCCAGTCTACTGCAGGGAAATTCTAGTCGAAACTGATTCTAACTGCCGGTCGTTCCAAGAAAATAGAAGCTCTTCCAGAGATAAGAGCAAAACTTATAGGAAGTCTCCAAGGTCCCATCATCAAGACAAGGCCAATTAGTCTGTTGTCCATAGTCGTGGAATAAAAGTTAACTGCACACGGATAGTTAAACGAAGCCGAGTCGAAACCAGATTATACCCCGATCAGGCCAGCCAAAAGTCTTTAGATACTTCATTAATTCCAACGACTGCCAAGCAAAACCTGTTCCCTGAACTTCAAGTGGGACGTAAAGTCAGAGAGCATAATTATCTCTCCCCGCCTTAACAACTGTAAGAAGAAAAACTTCACCGAAGACGACACAGCATAAAGTCACCTGTACTCAAAAATTCTCTTTCACTTTTCACAAAAACAGGCTACCACTGAAACTATATTTTCGTTCACCTTTTAGAGACCACATTTCCATTTTTTTTCACCCAAAAGGATAAAATCGCCCAACTGCGCACGGGCAAAACCCAGGGCCAAACTGAACACTTATATGGCCAATAACAGTGACCTTTCGTCGTAGATGAAACGTTAAGCGCTCTAAATTTATCACGTACCCACTTGACTCAATGCAACTGGAATTTCTAATAATGAATTTTCAAATGAAATTTCTTTCTAGAATATGCTAAATGAGTCATACCCTGAAAGAAGGAATAACACAGCGAAATTCGCCCTTTTCCTGAATCTTTTCACAAGGAAAAGAAGCTTTCTTGGTTAAGCTTAAATAAAAAGAAAAATATCATTGAAACATTGGTTTTCTCCAAAATATAAGAAGTTGCATAACAAAATATTAATACATTAAATTAATAATGAACGGAATTAAATACAAGTTGTGATTTTTCTTAAAAAATAATTATTTTCATCAGAAAATTCAAACAATTATCAACATAACGTATCAGCAAGGACATTTTTGTGGTTTTTCTCGCGAGGAGTGCGAATACGAGCGCATTTAAAAAAGAAAGGTTAAAAAAAATTACAAAAAAAAACTCTATAAAGGTATACTTTCGTTCCTGCAGACATCCATATTAGGCTTTGCAAAAAACAATTAAATAAACATGCACAGACTTTGAACGAATAATCATACATTGTTTCAGTCGTTACTCCAAAATTCCTCTGTATGGCAAGATCTTCGCTGATTATTAATTAGCAGTGGTGGACATGATCGTCTAAACAGCGGTGAAAGGGGTGCTTTCGCAAAAAAGGTTGAGAACCACTGAAGAAGAAGTATGACATAGGTATTATCTTGGGTACAGTTTTTTTTTACGTATGAGTTATTATTCTACTCGTGCATGGATAAAAACATATATAAATTAAATTTAAAATGTAATAACAAAATCCAAATTGATACCACGTTTTACCATATGGTTCTGTTTCATCCAGAACACGATGGCAGTC